GCAGGTCCGCCCGCCACCGGCTGAAGGCGAGCCGCGAGATGGCACCCTGCCCCGCTGCCGCCTGCGCGACAACGCAGCCGGCTGAGCATGAGTTGCGATGGCGCCAGCCTGCTGCGCGGCCTCGCGCCGGCGAGGGGCCGCCTGGGCGCGGGCTGCGATGGCGCCAAGCCGGAGATCTACATCGGGCGCGGGTCGCCTCGCCTGCCCCGCGGCGTCGCCTCGGGGCGACCCCGCGCGGATTCGCGACGCGGGCAGCCGACGGGGAGTTTCCGTGGAGTTCGAGCGACGCATCGACGATTCCTCGCATTCCTTGGGCGGTCGGAGTTCTGAGACAGGCCGCCACCTCATGCGCCGCTGTCGGTCGGGAAGATCACGCCTGCCACGGGGGGCGTTTTCATTCGGAAGTAGCCGGGGCACATGCTGCCCTCTCCCGTCTGGCAGATCCGGTCGGCTTGCAATGACCAGTCAGACGTGCTGGAGGCGACCGACCAGGGGCGCGCTGGCCGCCAGCAGGCCGAGGGCGTCTGCGTCATGGCGCCAGTGCCCGCCACGAGGCGCTCGGCGCACCCCGCAGCGCACGCGCGTCGGTCGAACGAGCCTCTCAGGCCCAATGGCTCGGAGAGCGTGTCGACAGAGAGCTCGGCCCCATTTGGCCGCCGCCCATGTGCGCGGATAGGTTGTTCCGATTGACCTGAGACCTTCAGGCTGTCGCCCATCGCCTATAAGCGACTGCAGATATTGCCGAGCTGCTGCGCGCGCGGCTTGTTGTTCCGCCAGCAGTCGGTGGTGATGCGCTTCAGGGAGGAGGTGCCGTCGTCGCGGGCCTTGCTGCCACTCCTGAGATGCGACCCCGCGCGCCGATCAGCGGCGCGCAGCGAGGGGTCGTCTGTCGCGCGTCTCGGCTTCGCCCTGTCGGGGCGGCCGCGGCGCGAGCCGCCGCCCGCCCGCTTGTCGCCGACTCCTGCGACAAGTTGATCCTGCTGCCCCTGCGCGCCGGGATCGTCGGCGGTTGGCGCGCCCCGGGCATCTTTGGACTCGACCCCGCGCTCTTCGCGGCGCTGGGGATGGGGGTCGACCTGGGGGCCAAGCAGGCGGCGAAGCGCGCCCGGCCCAAGGCGCTGGAGAGGGGGCGCGCGCGACTCGGGCCAGGCGGGGGCCAGCGCGATGCGCAGGCGGGCGCCGCGCGCCGCCGTCATTCTCGGAGGCAGCCCGTCACCGACCACTCGCGGATAAGCCTGGAGCGGCAAGGCGCATCCAGCCGTCGATCTCGGATATTTTACGAGATCTTGCGCGCGCGCGGCGTCGTCGAGGGCGCGCTGGGCGAGTGGCGCCCGATCGCGTAGCGCGCCGATCACGCGGCGCCCATGGGCCGCGAGCCCCGCGCTCTCATGACGGGCCATCTCGGGCGCCGCCCAGCCCTCATCGACGCTGGCGACATCTCCCACTGTAGGAGAGACCTCCTCTACTGGATCAATGAGTAGCTACTGGCCCCGCGAAAAGGGGCCCCGAGAGCGGTTGGCGACGTCGAGCAGATCATCGTGCCGGGCTGCCCCACGCCTGCCGCGCGGCGGCTGGCCCCTGGCGCGAAGCGACGAGGGGGTCGCGATGAGAGGCTTCGCCGACTGATCTTTCTGCGGCGCATTTCTCGTCGAGCCCTTGGTCGGCGCCCCGGCGACCCGGGCGCCCGCGCGCAGGCGGGGCCCGCAGACGGCAGGATTTCAATGACACATTCGCGCCCGTCCAGTTCTCAGACATCAGCTGCGTGGAGGAGGCTTCTGGACACTGGGGGCCGACAAACAGCCCGGAGCGGGAGTGGCATCTCGACGCCTTGCCCGGCCTCGCCGCCGCCGCCAGCGCCGCGAGGGCCGGGGGGCTGGAGAAGACAAGCTTGGAGCAGAGCAGGCGCGCCTTTGTGGGCAACGGCCTCCAATGCGCCGTGGCGGGCTGGATCCTCGCGCGCTGGGCGGCGATGGCGGGCCGCCTGGATCGCGCCCCCACCATCGCGGCGATGCGCTTGACTGGAGGCGGCGCCACGATTGAAGACATTGAGTTGCAGCTGTCAAGCGGCGACGACGCGAATGGCACCCTCGCGCGAAAGCGCGACCTGGAGAGCGCGGGGGGCAACATGCGACGACCCCTCCATAGCGATGATCGAGGAGATGGCAAGGCGACCCGAGACGACGGGCAGCGACGCCCGCTCGGACACGTACGAGGCGATGCGGCTTGTGACCTGCGACCGCGTCGCCCCACATCGGCGCGTCGATGGTCGCGGCGAGCCGCCGACGTCTTGAAGTGGAAGCGCCTTTCGCGCCACGCCGGCTTGGCGGCGAGAGCCGCGCCGTGACGCGCGTCGCTGGAGGTCCGCGCATCTCACCATGCACGGGCTCGTTTTTGCCGTCTGGTGGATTCTCTAGTTTGCTTGGGAGCGGTGGCCCGTGGCCAATCGTGCCCTACGATGTTGCGCGTGGCTGCATGACGCATTGGTGCTCTCGTCCTCGCCGCTCTCGCTCGCCCTGTCCACGGCCGAGCGGGGGCCGCAACCCCGCGGGCGAACCTTCCAGGGCCGCGGCGGTCGGCCACAACTCCCACGGTGGCGGCCCGCCGCGGCGCGGAATTTCAAGCAGCCGGGGACCGACGCACTCGTCGTCTACAGCGAGCCGCGGCAGGGCGCCCCTCACGCACCTTGGTCAAAGACGCGCGCTTGAAGTTAATCGCAAACCATGTCGTCGTTGCTCCGAGTGGGTTGCCAGCCATGGCTCGTCGCGGGCCGGGCGCGTCGATCGCGCAGATTAGCTGGACCTGTTGGCGGCAGAACGGATCAAACGGTCGTGTGCCGAAGGGCGCCCGCAGGGGCTAGCGGGCAATGCGCTGTCTGCGGCGCAGTTACTCCTACGGAAGAAGGGCCTCGTGGGGGTTGCTGCGGGCATGGCAGATGGCGCAGCTACGCCAGCACGCGCTGCCGCTCCCCGAGGTGGCGGATCTGGCCATTCCCCCGCCGCGCGCTTCTAGGGTCGCAACGACGCGGTTGCGTTGTTCATCGTGAGTTTCGCCGCCATCCTGCGCACCGCAGATCTCGTGACGCTCGTCAGGTGGAAGCTCGCCTTCGGCGGGGTGAAGATTGACTGTGTCGCGCAGCTGTCAGCTTCAAAAAAGTGGCCTGTGTTTACATCAGCAGGAGAGCGTGCCCGTTCATAGTTCCATAGTGGTGCGTTTGATAGTTTTCTTCTTACCTGCGCTTCCGCTCCTTAACTCACCACGTCGGTCCAGAAGTTCAGAGATTGTTGAGCAGCTCGCAAAGACTTTGGCCCCCCGCGTTCCAGACCCCGTCCTGACAGCTTGAGACGCGGATGGAGCGACCTCCGATTGCAAACGTTGCAAACATACACCAGAGGCCTTCGGACGAAGGCGCTGGAAAGACACCATGACAGCTCGCATGTGTTAATCTATGTACGCGCGTATACTCAAGCAGACCCGCCGGCTTTGTCAGATACGCAGTTTCCGTCTTCAGCAGAGCAGCTGAGCCAGTTGCAGAATTCGAGCCAGCTTGTAGCTTACGGCGAAACGCAGAGTGTGGAATGAACCAGAAATTGAGAGACGGTAAATCAGGCAGGTCGTCGCGGGGAGCTCTTTAAGTGGGGGGGGTCCTTTCGGCCTTGTCGAGCCTCACCAGCGCCTGATCCGCCAGGCCGATGGCGGCCTTTTCGGTGCCCCCGGGGATCTTCCATCGGCTTCAGGCGTCCCAGGGACTTGCGGGTGCCATGGGAGCCCCTCGGGGGGCTCGCGCTCGGCCCTGGCGGCGTCAGGGCTGCTCGGGTTGCCTGGCGCTGGTGGAAGGACGCCTTCAGGGGGAGGCGGGACCAAAGGGTCCCGACACCCCTTCAATTCATTCCAGTCTTGGTGGAGCGACGGGATCAAAAAGAGCGGGGGCAGGTTGGGGCCAGAAACAAAACATCATATGTTACGTCCTCTGTTTCTCAGCCCCGTCCCATTACGCTCTCCCGTCTGCGGTCTTGTTGTTTCGATATATGTATATATACATCTACATACACATATACATATACATTTACATGTATACATGTATACATGTATATATACATATATATACATATACATATATGTATGAATATATATATATATATATATATATATATATATGTGCGTGTGTGCTCCCAACCACAGCTTCCCTGGGGACGGGTTCTTTAAGTGGTGGTGGGGGGCCTTCGGCTTCGTCGAGCCCCATCAGCGCCTGATCCGCCAGGCTGCTGGCGGTCTCTCGGGGGTCTCGGGGATCCTCCATGGTTTTTCAGGCGTCCCATGGACCTGCGGGTGCCTTGGGGGGCCATTGGGGAGTCGCGGTCGGTCCGGGGGATGTCAGGGCCGCTCGGGTTGGTTGGCTCTGGTAGAAGGAGGCCAACAGAGGGAGGTGGGACCAATGGGTCCCGACTTCACTTCACCTCAGCCTCCCGGGCTTAGCTGTGAACAGCTCCTTGCGAGGCGACGATGGAAAGGAGAGCGGGCAGGCCGGGGCCAGACACTTACTGAGGATGTGGGAATTGGAATTGCTACAGGGAACCGGAAAGCCAGGTCTTCGCAGTTGTTCGTACCCGAATGGACACGTTGATGTTTAAAATATGTATGGCACATGAAGGAGAGGGGTAGTGGTGGAAGGATGACGAGACGGAGCAAGATGAATGTGGAGAATCACGAGGAGGAACGCAGGAAAAGTAGATAGAGACATGGGAAAATAAATGTCAGGAGGGGGTGCAAGGCTTGTGGGGTGGCGGCTGATTTGGAGGAGGACGAGAAGGGAACGTGAGCGAGACGACGATGGATAGGATACAACGGAGGATGACGACGAACATGATATTGGTAGTTGTATGGTGTTGCTCAGGTATGCCTTCTGTCTCACTGTCTTCACGTTCCGTCTTGGAGCCGCCTGGCCAGAATTCCCTCGCCTCTTAGTTGAGAGCAGTGTTTTGGGAGTGGCCCGTCTGCCTAAGGTTTGCTCTTTGAACGCCCGCAGCTCCATCCTTGCGTCGGCGAACCCGAAGGACAGCCCGACTTGTTCCGCATCCCCCGCCTCATGTTTCCTTGTCAACCTGGGTTGAGCAAAGAACAGAGCATTGTAGATTTGGGAGCGGGCCTGGGCAGGAGAAGGGGGGCAATGGGGTAAGAGGAGCGGGGCCGAGTGCGAGGGGGGGTGCTGGGCAGAGAGACAGAGAGACATAACAATAAAACAGAGCACGAAACATATATATATATATATATATATATATATATGAATCGCCCTCCTCCCCCGGCCTGGGCCAGCCCAGTCCGCAACAATTCTAATACGCTCGCTGATACCCCCCCGATTCGCTCTCCAGAGACGACCCGGAGAGGCCAAGGGGGTGCCAAAACGAGCCAAGAGGGTTCCAAGAGGCCCCTGAGACAGCGCAAGAAGGCCTCGAGTTGCCCAGTACGGCCCAAAAAGGCCCCAAGACGCTACAAGAAGGCTCCCAGAGGGCCTCAAGAGGCCAAAATCATCGAATTCCCATGGGTACTTACTTACATGCTTAGCATGTGCGCCTTTGCAGCTTTCACAGCTGTGAAGACGGTCCAAGAGGCTCCCAAGACTCTCCCAAGACGGTCCCGGAGGGTCCCATGAGGCCCCGAAGGCGGTCCAAGAGGGCGCTTGGGCGGCCCAAGAGGCGCCCAAAACGGCCCAGGTTGGCCCCAAGACGGCCCAAGAAAGCCCAGAGTCGCCCAAGACGGTCCAAGATGGCCCCGAGACGGTCCTAGAAGGCTCCGAGACGCCCCAAGAGGCCTGCCAAAGCTCTCCCAAGAGGGCTCCAAGAGGCCAACATCGTTAATTTCCTATCGGGGAACGTGCATTTTCAGCATGTGCGACGCTTCGGTCTTCACGGGTGAAAAAAGAGAGAGAGAGAGAGGAAAGAAAAACGATCATGACAAGGAGAGAGAAATAGGGAAAGAGAGAGAGGGAGAGAGAGAAGGAGAGCACCATCGGGGCGTAGATCCCTTCGAGCGCCGCTCCGAGCCGAGGCCGGAGCCGAGGCCGAATCGGAGTGTGGGGAAGAGCGCCTGCGGCACGCGGCCCTGCGCGCAGCGGCGGGTGGTGCGATTGCAGGGCGACGAGGTCTATACATATCCACTGCTCCTGGCCAGTCCCATCCTGGGCCCAGGATCTGTGTATACCCCCTCCTGGCTTGGCCAGGGAGGCATACACACAGCTCCTGGGCCCAGGATGGGCCTGGCCAGGAGCAGTGGATATGTATAGATCTCGTGGCCCTAGATTGCAAGAGCGGAGGGCAAGCGTGCCTTGCGGCCTCGCGGATGAATTGGGAGGCCGCGGAGGGGAAGTGCCGCATCTTGGCCGTCGTCGAGTCTCGTGGGATGCATCCCCGGGGCTTTTGGCGGCCTGTTCGGGGGCATGTGGGAGGCCTTTGGGGGCCTCCTGGGGTCCTTTTGGGGGGCCTCTTGGGTCTTCCTGGGAAGCGCTTAGGGGCCTGCTGGTGGTATTGGGGGACATCGTGGGCGGAGGGCTCGAAATTTTGGTTCGTGCTTCCCTCTTGGGCCCCTTGTGGGGCCCCTTCGGCCAGTCCCAACGCTGCTGAAGAGCCACTGTGGAAGAATCGCTATTGAAGAGCCGCTACTGGAGAGTCACTGCAGCGCGACGCTCCGACTGCGTAGCAGGACGCAGAAAGCACCAGGCAATGGCATCCTGCGTGTGGTAAGAGAGCGGTGCGCCGCGAAGGAGGCGGGAGCACCGCTGCGCGCAGCCAGGGGAGAGAGCAAGGAGAGAGAGAGAGAGAGAAACAAAAAAGAGAGAGAGAGAGGGAGAGTGGTACTCGTCACATTTCCAGTGCAGAGCGGGGAGGACCAGGGCGGCTGTGACACGGCAGCCCCTCCACCCAAGCCCGCCCGGCTGCACGACCGCACCCCCATTTGCGCGGCAGGCGGCGGCGCGGGCGGCCGCGAGGAACACCTCCCGCCCCTGGCTGGCCCCTGGGGGGCCTTGGTATCGTTCGGACGCGTGCGTTTGTTCTCGGCGAGGACCATCGAGGAGCATCCTGGATCACAGAACAAACAAAAGGATGCCCCAGAGAGATTCGCCGCCGAGGGCGCCGAGGGGGTCGGATCGGATCAAGCGTCCACGAGCAAAGGGTCGAACCGACTCGGGCCCGGCGGTCCAGGGCGGCGGCGGAGGAGGAGTTCACGAGGGGGTTCCCCAGGGGGATCCACCGCCGAGGGCGGCGGAGGAGGAGGAGGATTCCACAGTTTGGGCCTCGTGACGAACGAGCGACACATTCACCAGAGGGGGCCATAGGTGCGTGATGGCGGACGGGGGTCCCCGCTCGAACGGGAGCTTCCCCCGCGGTCCGACAACTCGCAACCGTACCCATAGCCAGTGGTCATGGGTATGGGGTGTGGGTGTGGGTTGTTAATTGTTCGACCCCACTAGCTCGCACACAGACCCATAGCCAGTGGGTGTTGGTCCAGGGTGTCGGTGTGGGTGTGGGTACGGGGTATGGGTAGCCAACTCCGACCACTCGATGGGTATGGGTGTGCGTTGCTCGTTCGGCACCTTGTGGCTCATGGCTGCCGCTCCCGCTCCCCTCCATCCCGACGGGCGGAGGCGGCGGGCGCGGGCAGTGAGCGCCCAGGGAGTTCCCGAGGGGGCCTCCCCAGGAGCTCGCGAGGGTGGTCCCCAGGGCTGTGCCCCGTCGCCCTGCCTGGCGCCCCTGCCCGACGCCGCCGGCGCTGCGGGCGCGTCGCCAGCGGCGTGCCCAAGGACGGGAGGGGGAGCATGGCGGATGCGCGCTCGGGCGCGCCCGCGTCCCCACAGGGGTCGAGGAGCTGCACCGTGGGGAGCGTCAGGCCCTCCGACTCCTCCTCGACTCGCCCCGCTTGTGCTGGCCTCTTCTCCTGATCCTGCTCGTCCCCCCGTCCCTCCCCTCTTCGTTCCCCCTCTGGCCCATTCTCCACCTCCAGCCCATCCCCTTCCTCCTCCGCCCGTCCTCCGCCCAGGATTCGGCCTACGATCCGAAAATGTCCATCGTGGAGAACATCAACTTGCCGAAGAACCTAATGACCCGCTTCGATTTCATATGGCGCCTAGGGTTGAGCAATTGAACGCCGGACGCGCCGCGAGGTGGCGGCTCGCCGTTTGCGTTTCGAGCGAGATCCGCCCGCTTCGACTCCGCATATGCATGCCCATCCGTGGGGCTCCAAAGCTACCGATCCCATCCTTGTGTCATGGATTTCACGCCGTGGGTCGTGATTGGCAGAGCCAACGTGCCTAGACCGGGTTCTGGAGGCGCAGACTCGGACAAGTTTGCCGTCCTGACTGCTACCCAGGCGCCCCAGGTGCGTCTCCGTGGGCGGACGGCATGCTTGCCGGGCACGCTGCACTGCCAAGGCCCGCCCGCAGGGGCCAGTTCTTCACGCTTCGCGCATCCCCACCAGCCCTATTCAGAAACTCTTGCCCATGAGAACTGACGGGGAAAGGGACGAAGAGGCACATTTAGTGAAACAAAGCAGGCAACCAGCAGAGAGATTTTTGGAGCAAGGGGTCGGACTTGGAGGGACTATTCGGGCTATCCCTGGGGCCCACGTGGGGGCGAGGGAAGAAGGAGGGAGACGACGCCGACGACGACGACGGCGATGAGTAAGAAGAAGAAAAAGAACAGGAAGACGATGAGGGCAAGGACGAGGACGAGGAGGAGGAGGACAATAAGGACGAGGACTGAGCCATCAAAATCGCCTCTTGGAGCCCGCTTGGGGCTCTTCTGGAGGATCTTAGGGCCATCTTGGAGCTCTTTTGGGGTGTCTTAGATCCCTCTTGGGGCTCTCTTGGGGGTCTCTTGGGAGCCCTGGAGGGCTTCTAGGGGCTATCGTGGAGGGCATCGGTGAAGAGAGGGGTCCTAACGTTTGAACCCCCCTCCGGGGCCCTTGAACTCGCCTCTTGGGGCCCTCTTGGGGCGCTCTTGGGGCTATCTCGGGCGCTCTTGGGGCCTCTTAGACCCATCTTGGGGCTCTCTTGGGCCATCTTGGGTCCACCTTCAGGCCTCAAAAGCGCATCGGAAGCGAAAAGGCGAGAAGGCATGAGGCCAACTCAGTTGGGCCTCGTCGGGGGATTTTGAGGGGGCTGCGGGGGCACTTGGAGCCGTCTTGCGGCCCTCGTCGGATCTCTTGGAGGGTCGGGAGCTATCTGTAGCCTCGAACCATTCTTGGGCCGCTTCGGAGGCCATCTTGGAGCATAGGAGGCCCTCTTGGAGCCATCGTGGGAGAAAAAGGACCCTCTGACACATCGCGGCCCGCCCCAAGGAAACCTCAGGGAGGGGAGGGGGAGGGTACCCCTTCCCAAGGGGAAGAGGGTTCCTGGAAGAGGAAAGAAGAACATCGCTAGACCACCTTTGCCCAAAGAGCTGGTGGGATGCAGAGCCCAGCTTCGCTGAGGATGTTGACTCCCAGGCCTTTCTTCTGCGCCCCTGCGACTTGTGGCTCGTGCCGTGGCCAGGTGCGGTTCGAAGCATCGGGTGGCATGATTTGCATTGCGAGGCGCATGTAGACAAACAGGGGGCCCACGACGGGCCTCGCCAGGGCTGGCTCATTCGCGCGTGAGTTGCATTCCTTCGCAGGCTCATGCTGGACAAGCGCCAGAAGGAGAACGATCGAAGGCTCTGCGGGGATCCGCCGTGCTGGCAGGGAGGTGGAGTTGTGGGGGACGCGGCCGGCTTCCAGCCTCGGCCAGCAAGAGGTTCGGGGCTTGTTTTTCTTTTCTTAGGGGGGGCGCGGATGGGCGATTCAAGTCGGGCGTCTTTCGGCATCTACGTAGGGTTGTTGGTTAAGATGGGCAGGCGGAGTGGGAGCGGGTGTGGAGCAGGGCCATGGAGAGAGCAGCAGCAGCAGCAGCAGCAGCAGCAAGAGTTGCAGAACGATAACGGGGCAACAAGACGAAATCATGGACGGGCTTGAAGGAGAAGTCAAAGGCCTTCGTCTTGCAGCAAGAGGCTCGACGGCTCGGCGTCCCGTGGCACAGGCATCTCGCGGTAAATACTTGATGTGTCCTCGTCGGTTGCGCGCGCTCTGTCAAACGCATAGTTCGTTGAGGTAACACGGCGCATAGAGTACAGCAAAGGGCACACAGTGGTTCCATCCCGATGGACACGATCACCCAGCCCAGCGCATGATATATTGTATCGTGTATGCATGCGCCCCAGTTGGCTAGACGTTCTCGCAAACACACTCGTGTTGCAGATACCGTGCGGGCGGATGTTCACGCTTCTGTTGTCTCCTCGCATGTCTCACATGCCTGGTGCTACGGCGCCCGCCTGCGACGTCCTCGCCAGCGACAGCTGCAGGCCCGATGCAGGGGCGCAGCCCACGTTCTGGTGCTAGGGCTCGCGCGCTGGACCGCTGCCCGCCAGGTTGGCAGGGCATCTCATCTCCATGTACACCGAGGCGGGCGCACGCAGTCGGGTCGGCCTGTGGGCAGCACAAAGGCTCACACAGCCAGCCAATGATGGCGTTGGTCCCTCCATATTCTGGCAAGGCGCGGGGACAGTATTTCCAAGTTCAATGGGCTGATTCGTTTTCACCCTTCGCCACCTCAATTGTTTGTTGCAGCGGCTGGGTGGGATGATCGGGGGACGTTGCAGAACAGTTGTTTTTTGTCCAGGTGCGTTGCCACGTGCATCCGTTATCGCGCTGCAGGTGGTTGAGGGGGCTTGGGGGACGGGGATTGAGAGGCTCAACGCCCGCGCGCAACCGTAAACACCTCGCCTTGACATTTTGTTTTCTAGAAGGGGAAACCACATGTTGACCACCTGGAGCAACAACGCATATGCATGTCGTCATCGGTGTTCTGGGTTGCCACCATCGACGTACAGTCCGCAAGCGTAAGAAGCATGAAGGAGGCACACACATAATCACACCAGTCGCAGCACCTCGCTGTGGCGAGTTTTGTGATCGTTTTCTTATTCATTGTTTTGCCGATCGGCGCGGGCCTTCGCACCCCCCCTACCCCCCTCCCTCTGGAGTAGATCTTGGCTGTTTTTGACGCCTGTTTCAAGCAGGTGGAGTCTTCCCCACAGGACACTCTGTTGCAAACAGTCGCGCTAAGCAGAGGTCCAGAGCCAGTCCCCCCCCTCCCCTCCCTTCCGCCCAATGTCGAAATGCCGAATGAGAAAACGTTGATCTTCGGAACCCCCTGGTTTTGAAGAAAGGAGAGGGATTTGGACAGTGATATGACATGTGGGAGTAATATTTGTTTTGCGATCCCCAGGTGGCAAGGCGGACAGTTGTCTTTGGGTGCCTTGGCCTTGGCACTGTCCTCTGGTCCGTACCTTTTTGGCCAAGCCTGCCCCGATTCAGCTCCCCCACCCTCACCACCCTGCTAGATTGGTACCCGTCGGTCGTTGGAAGTATGTATTTTCAGGGGATTTCCAGAGTCCAACCTACTTGCTGCGCCTTCCTACTTCAAGAGTCGAGCGGTTGTCCCTCCTCCCTCGTCCTCGTGGGGCGGGCGAAAGCCACACCCATTTCAACGCCTCCCCACTTCATGGTTCTGCTCACTTAATTCCGACCGACGGGCAAATACATGCTCTCACATGGCGCTCTGTTGCCACGCTGTCCCACCAGGAGCCAGCCCCCTGTCCAGGCCGACCACGATAGCGTGCCAATCGGCCTGGGACGCGTGGCGCGCCCCAGGGGGGCCCGGCGCTTGCCTGGGGCCCAATCGCAGTTTGCGTGCGCATCTTCGCCAGAAGTGGGAGTCTGGCGGGGAGGGAGGGTCGCACTGATCCTCAGTCAACGTAGGTTCAGATTCGCACAGAGCACCCTGTGTTCCGCCGGAGGAAGATGGAGTGTAGGAAGAGGGAGGACATGCGGCAGAATGTGAAATTAAGAAGGGAAGTGGAGGAGAGGAAGGATGATGGATCATTGAATTGCAGCACAGAGGAGGACAAGGGGGGGGGGAGGAAGGGGGAGAGGAGGAGGAGGAAGAGGAGGAAGAGGAGGAGGAGGAGGAGGACGAGCAGGAGCACGAGGGGGAAGGGAGGGAGAGGAGGGAGGAGGAGGTGGAACGAGGAGGGCGGCGTGGACGACGGTGAGCAGGAAGGGGAGGAAGAGGACGAAGACGAGGACGGGGGGCGGTTTGAACCCCGCTTCGCCCCCGCCACCACGGAGTCCGCGGTAGCCTGGGCGCCGAGGTCGAACCCAGCATCGACAGCGAGCTCTTCCGGCGCTACGTTTCCTTCGCGAAGCGGTGGGTGTTCCCTAGGCCCCCCTTCTCATGTCGGGCGCCCCAGCCCCTCCCATTCTCTTCTCCCTGCCATTCTCTCCCTATTAGTTCTCTCTCTTTCTCTCTCTCTCTCTCTCATACATTTATATCATGTTTCCTCTCCTCTACCTTTTCTTCCCTTTCCATCCCATCCCCATCCCTTTCCCTTCCAGTCCGCCTCTTCCCGCCTTCCTCTCTCCTCCATCAGTTTCCATCCTTTCCACCTCTCCAGTTCCCCGTCCCGTTTCGCTCGATCCCGTCCCTATCCATTCGCTGTTTGTCTTTCTCTCCGCCCCTTCTACTCATTGGTTTATCTGCCCCACGAGAATACGCGAGCGTATCATATTCTAAACGTAGTTCACCATGACAGCTCATTGGAAAACACTGAGTTCACTCAAGCAAGAAGTGCACAAGTCTAAAGGCGCGCATACTCTATAGCAATGCTCTGCCCTTGTGCGTAGAGAGCATGCCGGCCACCATTCCATGGTAATGCCGCTCATCCTGCTTCTGCTGCTGCTGCTCCTCCTCCCCGGGGGCAGCCTAGATTGAAGGTTGACGGACGAGTCCGAGGCTGCGCTCATCAAGGGCTACATCGACCTGCGCAACCAGGGCACTTCCCGCGAGGCTCGGGCTGGCCCATCCCGACAGCGACGACGACGCCGCCGACGACGACGACGTGCAGTGCGGACGCTGAGCGCTCCGCGCGGGCCCCGCTGGGGCAGGCGTACCTGCGGCATATTGGCGCGCCCAGGCAGAGCTCCTGACGCGTGCTACTGACCGTCTCTGTGAGGGAGGGAGGCTCCTCAGATGGCCCCAGAGGGATCGGAACATGGCGGCCCTACGACGAACAGGCACTGGTTGAGCCCGCCCTGCGACGTGGTGCGGAGCTCGTCGCCGGGAGGGGGCCCAAAGGTCAGGGTAGTGCGTTGAGGGCCAGCGGTGCCGCCGCGACCGCGGCTTGCGCTCGGCGCAGGGGGGAGGCTCGAAGGTCAAGGACTTGTGCGTTCTTGCGGCGTCTTTGTCTTCTCTGTGTACCCTCTTTGGAGCCTCCGGGTGTCCCCAGGAACTTTCGGAGACTTCCAGAGGACCCCCATCGACAGGAAGAGTGCTGAGAGAGGGAAAGAAAGAAAGGTGTACTCAGGCATTTTCATCGTTTCCGGTTTGCCAGGGCCCCACCGAGGCCCCGGGGCCATCAACACAATTCGGGATGAATGGGCGGCTCACGCGGGGGCTTTGGGATCCAGGGGCCATGTTTTTTCCTAAGCCTGTGTTTATTATATGCCAATGATCAGCGCTCCATAATCCTGTGCCCTAGACAATCAAGCCTGGCCAGGACAGTTTTGGTCGGCGGTGGGGGGCGGCGGGGACGAACGTCACTATCGCAAGGTAAAGTATGAATCGTATACAGTAGCGCGCCCCGCCTGAGTGAGCACGTTACCGCTATACCATCGTATTTCTCACGATTCGTACTCCTCCCACCCCTCCCGGAAGGCCCCGCAAGAGCAAGCACGGTACCGTTATGCCATGTTGCGACATCATGTTGGGAAGCGTTGATCATCCTCCAGAAGCCCCCGAATTTTATTATCCCCATCCTGTGGTTATCGGGGCTCAGGGTTATGCGAGTTCAGATTTGGTTGTTTTGATGTTATCCATTTTGTGCGTTTGCACGCCTCCCTCTCACCATGGCCAATGCGCACTCTTCGGGTTTCTTTACCTGTAGTCATACTCATGTGGTTTTTCTGTCTCATTCCAGCGCTTCATCCTCACTTTTAGCTACATCTTTCTCCCCGAGTCACTTTCTGAGATTGTCGAGGGCCGCCGGTTTGATCACCGATCTCCAGGACGCGCAGTGGATCCGAGGGAGGGGCAGGGGGGGTGGCGACGGCAAACGCGGCAACGGGGGGAAGGAAATGAAAAGGGAGGGACAAAATGTGTGGAACGGGGAAGGAGAGGGAGAGGTTGGGGCAGAGGGGGAGAGGAGGGTGCTAGGGGAACCACAGCAGACCGAAGGGTGAGCGATTTCGTTTTTGGATCGCGTCTCCGAGTCTACCTTCTCACCATTGTCGCCGCCCAAAGTTCAGAGAGGCCCGCGGGTTCACGTATGAATGCAGGCCCATGGACGTGCAAACTATTGGCCAGATCAGACTGATGGGTTGCACCGTGGACGATGGCAAGCCCGAGGGCCGCGCAAGGGATGCAGCAGCCACAGCTGCAGCATAATTTGGCCCAACGCGACAGCGACACCATAGTATCCAAATTGTTGGCCACACCGGTCATCTCCGAGGTGGCGAGCGAAGGCTTGGTCGGTGCATCGGCCAACAAGAGAGCGTTGCGCCTTCAGGGCCAGGCCACAGCTGACTGACTCGTAATAGGTACACGAAATAGAGAGGCCCAGAAGGTCCCCAAGCAACAGGTGGAGGTTGCCCCCCGGGACGCCAGGGCCGAATTCGCAGCAGAGTGGTAGAGTGTTTGACCAGAATGTCACAGGGCCGCATATACATCAATGTTGACGTTCTTTAGTTCGGCGAGTATTGTACATGCTGCGCAGTTGTTTCCAGTAGCGGTATCTGAGGGGAGCAGCCGTGCGCCAGTCGCCCCCAGAGGACCATCAACGGGGAAATGCCGAATTCGCCGAGTGGATCTCAAGGTGGCGGTTTCGCGTGGGAGGTCCTCACAAAATCGCCCCCCGGACCCCTCCCTAGAGGCCCCAGTAGGAGGTTGCGGAAAGGTCGAAAGGAGGAAGGGGGAGGGCATGGAGAAAGGGGGGGGGGTCGGAGGGAAAGGGGCGGGAGGAGAGACGGAGACGGGGACGACATGCCTGGTGCAACAGTTGCAACATTACAGCACGCTCTTCACCCTCTGCCTCCGCGTCCTTCTCCTGGTCATCGCCTCCTGCTCCTCATCACCATGGCTCTCTTCCTCCTCCCTTCTGTACACAATTTCCCTTTCTCATTGCGCATGGCACGATGGGGTCAGTTTGGGAGTGCCAGGTCCACTGTGACACCCGTCAGCGGATAGAGAAGCATCAGAACAATGGGAAGAGACGTGCGGGAGGGGTAGGATGTCAGATACGGCGCGAGCGTACCTCGCTTGTCTTCCTCCCATCTCCCTTCTCCCTACCCTCCTCCCCCTCTCGCTCGAGGCAATCACGGCCACGCCGCGCATCCTGGAGACGTTGATCCGCACTTCGGAGTCGTTGGCAAAGATGGAGCTAAGAGAAGAGGTCTTGACCACGGATGTCGAGGAGACCCCCTCTGGGAAGAAGGGGAGCACGACAGCAGGAGCAGGGAAGCGGCAGCCCGACAGGGGGAGCAGGAGATTCATGCCGATGATTTGGTGGTGCCATGTTTTGTTGCTGTGGTTTGCGAGGCTCTCTCGAGACTCAGCTTCCACAGGGAGGGGTGCTCCAGGATGGAGGAGGAGGAAGAGGAGGCACCGGGGCGCTACGGGGCTTGACCCCTATGGCGCGCGGAATAGCGGGAAACTAGCGAGAGGAGGCACAGGAGGCAGAGGGGGCGGAGGCGAAAGGAAGGGGGCGGAGGAGAGGACGGGGAGGGGAGGAGGGGCAAGTCGGGCGGGCGTTCTCGCGCCACAGTTGTCGGCATGCCCCTTCCGCCCGTCTCTCTCTCCACTGCGTTGACGCGGTTTCTGTCCGCCGACGCGTGTCGCAACGGGCTCGTTGAACTCCAAAGAGGACGCCCATCGTGTGATGCGCCAGCAGGGAAGAGGAGCTGCGTACACTGGAGCAGGGCTGGACCTAAGCGCTGTTTTGCTGGACTTCGGCGGTGTCTTGTGTTTTTCGTGTTGGGCAGGAGTTACAGGAACACAGGCAAAACAAAACGAGCACAAAGCGAAAAACAACCTTTAGGTCCAGCCCTGCACTGGAGGAGGTGGCGGATGAGCAGGGGGAAAAGGAGAACGAATGAGGAGGACGAGGACGAACAGCAGCAGCAGGAGTTGGAGAGTGGAAGGCGCGGGAGGAGCAGGAGGACCAGGGGAAGGCGGAGTAGGGAAACGGAGGGGGGAAGCAGCAATGAGGAAGGACGTGGGTCCAGAAACGTTGGGGGCAAAGCGCCAATCCGAAAATGAGGCTCACGCTGCAGCAGGGACACCATTTTGAAGCATTAGAATACAAGGTAATATTGGCAATATGTTGTGGCAAATCCGAGTCAAACAAACACTTGGCCATACAAGGGGACATGTGTAGAACGTTGTCCGTCGCCGTAGCCTTTGGCTCAAGCCGCTCTGGCTCGAGGTTGGCCAGCGCGGCCCCATGGGGGACGGAGTAAGCCCTGGGTTGCGGGTGGCCTTTGGGTGCACGGAGGGGCTTCTTCCTTTCGGCGCCCTGCCCCGTGGTCCCATGGAGGAGTCGCCCGCGGCCCGGCGTCGGCGGCAGCGCGCTGCCGCGCGGGCCGCCCCTGCTGCGCGGCCAGCGGGCGCTGCCGGGCCGGTGCCGCCGCGTGTGCCGCCGGCCGCCGGCTATGCTATTGCCGCCGGCGCTGCCGGCGCCCGGCGCGCGGCGCGCCACGGACGCTCCGGCGCCGCGGACTCCACGGGCGTGCCCCGCGCCACGGCGCCTGGCGCCGTGGCCGCCGCGCGCGGCCTTCGCCGCGCGCCTGGCGCCGCGGCCGCCGCCGGACCAGCCCAGGTCGCGGCCGCCGCGGGCGCCACCCGCGCCGCCGGCGCCGCGGGTGCTGGCGCTGCGAGCGCCGCGTTTCCGCGCTGTCGCAGCCCTCGGCCGCCGGCGTCGCGGCCGAACGGCCCGCCGGCCCAGGCCGCCGCCGTCGTGGCCCGCGCGGCAACCCTGAAGCCGGCCGCCACGAGCGCCGCCGCCGCGGCCGCCAGCGCAGCAGCCGCCGCCGCGGCCGGCGGCTGAGGCCGCCGGCGTTCCTGATGCTGCGGGCGGGTCGCTCGACCTCGCACGGGGCAACTGGGCGCACTACACTGGTTTCTCCACCCGTTCGGAAGCGAGGCGGGTGTCCAGGACCCTGAGGTTTCTGGGACCTTGCTGGGTTCAGAACGGATTGTCCGGCACGGTTCGTTATTTCCAGGTCGGCGGAGGCTTGGGCCGCCCCAGGTGTACCACCACAGGGTACCCTCAGGGGGATGCCCTGTCAGTGTTCGCCTCCATCATTGCGACATTTGTGTTCCGCATGATGGCTACCTCCCGCATTCTCTCAGTTTCTATCATGAGTTGGGCGGGTAATGTCCAGTGGCTGCGCGTGATGCGGCTGAGGCTCCGCTTACTTTTGTTTGCTAGGAAGATTTCAGCGCACATTGAGAAATGAGTCCCAAACCGAGTGCTTGTTGGACGTGGGCTGCAGGCCCGGATCCTGCCTGTCGCCGGGCCCGCCACGCGGCCCGATACATTGCCCGAGACGGGACGGTGCGGCCCAGCGTCTGAAACCTCTAGCAAGTATTTCAAGCGCAATTCTTACTTGACTTGCCTCCTCGCGGGCTCCCGGGCCACCGCGATTGTCTTCGAGGCTTTCCTTCGGCGCCGCGTGCAGAGTTTGAGATCCTTTCTCTCTCGTTCTGACCCGGCTGCTACTGACAGGGCGACTCGCATTCTTGTGGCTCGCAGCGGAGGGGTCGACTTGCCGGCCACCCTCCCGTTACAGCTCCTCCGGAAGGCCTGGGCGGAGGCCGGTTGGGTACTGCGATCGGATTGGCGCTTGATCGATCCCTACGGCTTTGCGCGGGCCCACATGCTCGAGTGCTGCCGGCAGGAAGTGGGCATCCTGATCGATATCAAGGAGGCTACTAGCGACTGGTGCTCCCTGAAGGCCCACGCCCGGAAGCAGCTGACCATGCTCGGCCGCATCGACGTTGCCACCACGCTCGCCTATCCCATTGATTTGGGCGACGTGGCCCGCGGGCGCCTGATGGCGGTCTTGACGGCCTGGTCTACACCAATGCGGACTTCGCCCGACGACGACCTCCGGTTTTCCGTGCCAGTGCTGCTGTCGCTTGCTGTGCCAGACATGCCGCTTGCCACTTTCGGCTTTTCCCAGCCCCTCCCTGGCGAGCGGGCTTTTTGGACGCATCTGGAAGGGGCGCCTGTCCAGCCGCTGTCCCTGCGGGCCGCGCTGCCAGTCAGAGGCGACACGGATGACTTCCAGGACTTCTTCTCGGACGGCTCGGCTGACCCATCACATGGCCCCTCGCTGGAGGGTCGCTGGGTCTGGTATCGCGCGGCGACAGGCGACCCCGTCTGGCGCAATCCAGTGGAGACGGTGCGCCACCCCGCTGCCGGGCCTGGCGCAGACCATCGCGAGGGCGGAGCCTGGCCCTCTCGGTTGAGAATGTCGCGCAGCCCCTTCCGTGTCTTCATTGACAACAAGAGCGTCGACTCGGAGTCCATCCTCCGGATCGCTGCAATTGTGGCCGTGGCCTTCCTTGGCCGTATGCCACCTGTCCGAATGGTGACTTGCGGGGGCGGTTCGACGCAGCCTTCGGGCGCGACCCGGCCGCGCCGTGGTCGTGCAGAAGGTGAAGGGCCACGTTGGCCCGTCCGAGGTGCAGAGCTCTTTCGAGGAGTATTGCCGCGTGGGGAACGATCTTGCCGACCGGTCTGCTCATCGCGGCAGTCGGCATCACGAACCTCGCCGGGATGAGGCCCGCGCTGCTGCGGAGCGCCGCGCTGCCGCAGTGCACCGACCGCATGCTGGACCAACGGAGCGAGGCAGTGGAGGCCGCGGAAGCAGCGGAGGCCCCGCCTCCCGCCCCCGATGCCACGGACGACCTCAGCATCCCATGGTGTGGGGCGGGACTTTCTCCTGGTCCAACGTGAACGCTACCCTGCCAGCTGGGTTGACGCGCGCGCAGCTCCCCCACGGCCGGGTATTTTATGATCGTCTGCTGAAGTGGTGGGGCATTTTGGCCTGGCCAGCCCCGCGCATTTCGCCTCCCGACCCTGGCTTCGGGCAGGTCAGGTCAGCTGCGTCGAGCTAGTGGTGCTTTTCGGGCTTGAGACCCGCCCGCGGACCCTGGCCCTGGTGGGCCGCAAGTGGCACTTGCCCGCTTTGGCCCCGTCCGTCAACGTGGCCCAGCAGACCTTCGAGCAGAAAAGCATGCTCTGCCAGGCCGCGCGGTGCATCCTGCAGAAGCATGCAGATGGTTTCTTGGCGCCGCTCCGGCGCTTTTCGACCGCGCGGCGAATGCGCGGATGCGCGCGCGCAGAAGGACACGTCGCATTCTCCCGCCATGCGCCCGCGCATGCGCTGCCCTGCCATGGCGCACCAGTTGGAACCATTTTTTCGCAGTCCATCAGCGCGCCGAGAGCGCTCGCAGATGGATCAGCCCTTCGCGGCAGTCTTCGGAGGAGCGCCAGCTGTGGACGTCCTTGGCCACGCGCTTGCGGGCGATGCGCTGTCCGCGATCCTCGATCTCGGCACAGACCCGCCCACTGACGCGGTCACACTTGCGAGGCTTCACGTTGAGAGCAGGCGCGAAGGCGCTGAGCAGCACTCCGTCGCGAACAAGGCCCGCGCGCACCGCGGCGGCCGCGGCCTCGTGCTCTCCGACGCCGGCTACGTGTCGTACCTGAATCCCTGCTGCCTCAGTGGCCGCCCGCCGCCCCGCGCCGGCGGCCCGGGCGCGCGGGCCCATGCTCGGTCTGCTGACGACGCTGCTGCAGCCCGGCTGCGGCTCATATGTTGGCCCGGCGCCGTGCGCCGGAACCGGTGTGCGGCCGCGCGTGGCTTCCACATCTTTGGCCTGAACATCGCCGGCGAGCACTGGGAATGCGACCTCTGCGGGCACCGCGGCGACGCCGGCCGCTTGTCGCCGCTCTGGAAGCAAAAGTGCCCCGGCTGGCCTAGCCGCCGCAGTGGCTCGAGCGGTGATGGCGGCCCCTGGCCGCACGTGCGTGCACCGCAGCCCGCGGCTGCCTCCTCCCCCACAATTACTCAATATGAATACTACTCTCCTCCATCCCCTGATGGCGCGCGGAAGGTAGCGGGCACCCCTCCGCGTACTGTTGTTTTACACAGGAATTCCCAGAGTTTGGGTTTTCGCTTGGTTTTTTTTGTTTTTCAAAATGCTGCTCTCGCTGAGGTGCGGGCTTCATTTTCGGGCTTCCGCTTGTTCCGAATCGTGCTCCTGCTGCAGCGTTGGCCTCACTTCCGCGCTTCCGCTCGCTCCGAATCGCGCCCCCGCTGCAGCGCTTGCGTCATATCCCGCGCCACGCCACGGCATACAATGCAATGCTAGGTTGCGTTCCGCTGCGCAATGTCACGCCTT